AAATATTCAATTTCCTTATTTCTAAATGGGAATCATAGTTCTATGTGATTCATAGGGTTGTTGTGTTGTGATGTAACACAATGAAGCATTAACGTGACCTTCTGTTAGTAGAAAAACTGAACTAATTCTTAGCGGGCAGTGTTACTGATAGTCCAGAGAAGCCAGATGGACTGACTTGATTTAGATTCACACATTCATTTTATAGACAAGGAAAATGAAGCACAGGAGTTATGTTATTTGCATGAGGTCACACAATTGAACTTAATAGATTTATGAGGAAAACCCAGCTTTGTGGGACAGAATATGATTCCTATATAGTCCCTATTTGCATATAAATTACAAAGTTTGGAGATTTGTCTTTTGCGCCTCTAACATAAAAATGTTGTATTTTCCTTCGGGGACAATGCCTAGTTAAGAAAATGTGGATCATTTGGTTTAATCCAGCAGATATATGTATAAAAAGACACTTGAGATTTTTTTTTTTTAAAGGACAGAAATAGATAGTCTGTGAAGTCAGTGACTTCTCCAGGCTTGGAAAGATGAATCCAGTTTTAGTGAAATCCTCCCTTGGAACAGTTCTGTCATCCCTACTCCTTTTGTCAGAAAAATTGCTTTTGTACTCAGCCATTTTTAGGGGCTTGATGCTTGTGGGAGATGTTAAACACATTTCCCTTTCAGTAGTTCAGTGCCATTTTTATATCCAGTTGTAAGAAAGAGTTAAGCTTTGATGCCTCATGGAATGTCAGTCCGGAAGTTTCTCATTGTCTGAAAGCTATTGCCTTACAGACAGCACAGTGAAACATTAGAACTTAAAGTATTTATAACCAAAAGATATAGTGACTTTATGACTCATGATCTTTATATGTTTTGTGGTTATTCAGACATTCAAAAGCATAATGTAACATTCAATATTATAATAAAAAAGCAGTATCCTTTGGGGAAAGGAAAGAAAACCATTTTTGTGTGAAAAGCATTCAATATAATGTAACACTAAATTTCACATTCATTGCGTGCCTTATGCAAGCTTGTCACTTTATTTTTTTTTTTCAAGTAATTCTTTCACCAACACTATGAGAAAGGAATTACTCCCACTTTTTAGATAGTGAAATTGAAGGGGTAATATAATGTGCTCAGGGGCACATAGTAAATTGGCCACTGTACTGGGATTTGGGGAAACAAAGATGAATTAGACATGGTCTCCACCCTTAATGAACTCACAATCTAGTGAGAGACAGATAGCTACACTGCTAATAATTGTCAGGATGGAATTTTAAAACAAAGTGCTTTGGGCACACAAAGAAGGGAGTGATTAATTTTTGCTGGGGATAATGTCGTTCTTTTCTCATAGCTTCTTTCAATAGCATAACCTGGATGGATGAAGCCACATAAAGAATCTATTAAAGCTTAAAACATGATGATATATCCTCATTTCCAGTTTTTTTCTTTCAGTACTAAGGGCTACTGAGCATGGATAGTAGCTTTCATCTCCTAAAATCTTTCATTATTTTAACAGTATAAAACAAAAAGCATGGGGATAATATTTGGAAAGGCTAATTAGAACTTTAAGGCTTATAAATAGATAGGAGGACTTAAATCAGAAAAATTGGATTTCCAGGATTTTAAATACTTTATTTTTATTGCTTAAAATGTTTTTTTTTAATGTTTTTTTTTAAACTTTACTTGTTTCCATTAATTTTTGAAAAACTGAATATATTTTTAATGTTTTTGATAAAATGGAAGGATATGTTAAAATGGATATGAATATAGATCATGAAATTACTAGCATGTTTGAAATATGATATCTATATTTAAGAGAGATTCTGAAGGAAAATTCATGGCCTTGTTAGAAATCAAAAGCGTGTAGTCTATATTTTTTGTGAGACATTTTAGCTTTCTTATATATGTTCATGATCTCACAGGAATTAAAAGATATCTTTCTTAAGCTAGAATTTTGGTGTTGAATACGTAAAATATGAAAACACTTAAGCGTTAAGGTTATGCATTTTTATTTACATTTTTATTTATTTCTATTTTACTTTGCAGTTATGATTTTGGATGACAACATGCAAAAACTGAAGGCTCGGTGTTTAGGAAACATTGTGGTAAAGTAAGCAAAATTTGTGATACTGCTATTTTATTTTATTTTATTTTATTTATTTATGTATTTATTTTTTAAATTTTATTATTAGTTTCAGGTGTACAGAACAATGCAACAGTTATCCTTTTCACCCTCACAAAGTAACAACCCCCCTCCCCCATCAATTGCCCTCCCACCCCCAATATCATGCTTATCTAGTACAATTCTATTGACTCCATTCCCACACTCTACTCCACATCCCATGACTATATGTATATATAATTATAGTTGACATACATTATTATTCAACATCAGCTTCAGATATACAGTGCGGTGGTCAGGCCTCTAGTGATACTACTATTTTAAAGAGTAAGAATTCATAAATAATGTTAAGAAAATAATCAAATGCTTGCAATGATATTATTACTAGTGAGGACTTGCAGAATGAGCTTGTGTGTTGTTTGAGAATACATAGCATATTGTTTGAGAATATACAGAACAAATTTAAATACAATTTTTCAAAAGATAAATCTTGCATCTTTTTAATAACTTTTTCTGATTATACAAGTAATGCGTACATGAGAAAAGTAACTTAAATACCAAAAACATAAAAATGTAAATAAAGTTTCTGTACTCTGACCCTTCAGTGTTACACTGTTAATTTTGTAATATATTTGACTTTCCTGTTTTTGACAGGCATTTTAGACTGCTGAAACAATTCAGTTTATTCTTAACATATTGCTGTTTTTCCTTAACCATGTTTCATGGGCATTTTTAACTTTTACTCTGCCTCTTAAAAATGTTCATCCCATTCTAGGCCTCTTAGTCTTTTTTTAATATTTATGATGATAAATAATGCTGTATTGAACTTTTCTGTGTGTTGTCTTTTCTCCTTTCCTGATAATTACTATAGTATTGAATAGATTTCTAAGAGTGTAATTATTGGATCAAATAGCATTAACAGCATAATATAAAATCCCTGACTCATTAAGTACCACAGTTTCTTGCTAACCTTTTCCATCATTGTTCATTTGATAGGCAAAATGCTAAAATTTGAAGTAAAAAAATTTTAATTTACTTTGATTAAATCAATATTTTAAAATTGTTATGCTGGTGGAAGCAGAAATGGAAGTTGATTAAGTTGGGAGACACACATTATGTGACATTTTAATAATTGATACAGGTTGCTTTAGTGCCTCTGATTAGCATGATATTGACATTTTCACTGATATGGTTTAAATAGAATGAGCTGCTAAAAATAAAGGACATTGCATGTCATCCCTTAAAAACAGTTTGTTTTCCCATTTATTTGAAATAATTTTTTTTACTTGGCATTCTCAGATTGGTATAAGATGGTCTCAGGTTAATAAAACATTTTTAATTCTTTGAAAATTAAATGAAAAATAGTAATTTAAAAAAGAATGTATTTCTTCAAATACTTTTACCATAAATATAGCTAATAGGAGATACATGTTCTGAGGCAGTTCTTCTCAAATTCTTATATATCAATAAATGCGTAAGCACTAACTTACTTTTTTTTTTAAGTTTACATTTTAAGACATCTTTTCAGCAAATTATATATTGAATATACCATTTGTAGTCATATTTTTCTGAATCAGAATCCATGTTTACTGGTTGGAATTTGACCTGTAAGGGGAAAAATTTTGGGGGTAGGAGAAGGGCTTGCTAAAGAATTAATCTTCACAAGACTGTGAGTGGATGTTTAGCTTGCTTAGGGAAGCACCTGTTTTTTGTTTTTTGTTTTAAGCTGAACCATCCTGCCACCTGTTGGCAGCTCAGCTCAGACCAGGAATCGAACCAGTGATCCTGTTGCTCAGAGCTCACACTCTTGAGCGAGCTCTTAACCAACTGAGCCACTCGGCCGACCCTAGCACCTGGTTTTTGAGAGCGTTTAAAAACACTCTAGCAGAGTATATTTTTATATAATCTCCTAACTATAAGTGAGTCATCTATTGCATAAAGCAACTTTTTGCAAGATCCCAGTGGTGGCATTTGATACCAGCACAGTTTTAAATTCCTCATGCGTTCTGTCACTCTAATTATTGGTAGCTTCACCCCACATCTACTCAAAAATAATAAGATATAATAATAGCTCACATAAACTATATATATTTTTTTCTTGTAACCTTTAGGGTTACTTCAAGTAATTGAAAATAACACAATTATCTCTTTAAAGCATCCTGTGGTTTAGATGGGTGCCAATTCAGAATGATTTTCCTCCCTCTGTGTATCTAAACAGGGCATTTTATTGTTCAGATCTTGGATTTTGAGATTTCATTACAAATTATTTGAGGATACAATATATTATGACATGCAGTGGACTCTGATACCTCACTTAAGTTAATAGTAAAATTAGATATTGAAAACATTATATATTATATATGTAATATATTATTGTAATATGTTACAATACCAGGTAAGGTAAAAATAATCAGGAAAAATGTTGTCACAAAATTCTCTCTTTTTAAAAAAAAAACAGTTCTTGAAAACTTATTTCAGAAACCCATTTTTATCTGTGAGAATGAGGACTTCCTTTTGAAACCCACACATCCAGTAGCCATTCCACTCTAATGTATTGACCTGAAAATTATTCATGCATCCCTATGGCTGCTTGCAGTATGCTTAGGATGTTTTCATATTTAACATCTATCAAGAAGACTTATTTGTTTCAGTCCATAGCTATTCTGTGTGCTTTGAGGGGGTACATCATTTATCTAGTATGGAAAATGACCAATGGATGCTTTTTAAGAGCACATGATAAGTAAATGCTTAATTGAATTAAGTGAAAGGGCAAACCACATCTCCTTGACTTAATAAAAACTATTGTGATTAAAATAAAACCCAGTGTGTAATTTGAGAGTTAATCGTTCTTTCCCTGTAGATCGTATTTTAAAGAAAGTATGTGATCGGGAAGTGGGGTCATTTCCAGAGACCAGCTACATGGACCCAAAAACCACTTGGTGGCCTGTAAAAGGTGTTTTATTACGGATTATATACACTGTCAAGGGTTCACAAAATATCTGAGATTCTAAGCTTTAAGAAACGTGTTGATTTCCAAATTTGGGAAATGTATAATCAAAATGAATACATGTTTAATTAAATATCTATAAAATTTAACATCAGAACAATTCATTGTCAATTTAGGCTTCATAAATTTTTCATTTCATTTGCAAACCATTTTGAGGTCGTACGGTCTCACTCCCCATGATTTCTGAATATGTTCAGTGATTCCTGAGAAATAGTAATCAATGGCAAACCACGTGTGGCTTCTTGTCAGATGATTTCAAAAACAAAATTACAACCTTTTATTTTTTCAGAAAAAGTTCTGGTTTGTATGGTGTGTTGCTATTTTTTATTATCTTTGCATGGATAGATAGATAGGGGGTGAGGCCACTAGTAATAAGAATGACTCAGCCCCTAAGGGCCTTAAAACTGAGCAGGCATCAAAAGCCGCTGTGGCGCATGCTTTGTATAATAACGTGGACTAGTCTTTGAAAGAGCAATATTCCCTAATGCTATTTACGTTCACTCATTGTCCTTACAGTGATTATAAAGAATAGAGGGGAAAATCTACATGGAATATTTGAAATATACATTTCAAAGTATATTAAATTATATTAAAATAAGTCAATAAAAATGATTATTGTTTTAATCCCACATTTGTTTGCTTTTTGTAAGTACAGCTATAGCTTCCTGTTTCACTATAAAATCTGTTATGAATAGTATAAATAACATTGAAAACTATCTTTCTCTGGCAGTTTCTTTAAAATCTGAAGCTATTGTCATATTTCCATTTTTTATAAGATACTAAATGTAGTAAGTCATTTTATTATATTAAGATGACTTATCCCTTAATCAGAAAAGTGATATGTAGTAATTTTGAGAAAAAAACTTTTGATCCACTTCGGTTTTTCAAACCCTTTGTTAGGCTTTCTAGAAATCCCAGCTTTGCTCTCCTGGGGATCCCTCAACTGGAAAGTAGACATTTTAGTAATTTCGAAACTACTGTAGACTTTAGGGCGTAATAAACATGAATCCTGCAGTTTTCATAGATTACTTGTATGCATAGGGCTTACTTTTCCAGTAGAAGAGAAAACTACATGTCTGCATGGTTGTTAGAAAATTCCTTTGATTTTGAAACTTACTCCAGGCAGTTAATTTAGTGGGAAAGTTATGATATCTGAATTGCCATGAATACAAAATGGTCATGAATTTTAGAAGGTGCTCCTGTGGTTACATCCAGAGCTCCAAATTGCAGAAATAAAACTGTGAGTCAGTCATTTCCAGCCAACACATGAAAGACCATTGTAAACTGCGATTGCTTCCTCAGTACGGCAGCACTGTTATGAAAGCCATAGGTCTCTGGCTCTTCCACTCTGGTGGGCATACATTTTTCTCTGACCAGATCCAGTTGTTGCTATTGGAAGTGCCTTGTGGCTGTCTCCTGCTGTGTTCCGGTGCCCTGTGCCCTGCAGGCAGTGATGGGGTGCGAGAGAGCTGTATGGCGTGGTCTGAGTGCCTTTAACTCTGGTGCCTGTCAATTTCTCAGCCTCCAGATACTGAACTCTGCGCCTTTCGTGATGCTTGTTCACATCTTTACAGCTTAGATGAGTGATTCAGTCACTGTGTCTCAGGATAGGGTCAGGACATCTTTCTTTTTCATCAGTGCATCCTTTGAGGAAAACTGAGGATGTCATATAATTGTAATGCCGTTCCTTTCTAAATCTGATGTACAGATTTTAGTACAATCTTTTAAAGCCTCACCACAACACTGTGAGGTAGACTGTGGGGCAGATATAGCCTCATTGTAGACATGGGAATCTAAGCATCGTTAGTAGTTACACAGATACAACTCGTATTTATTACACAGTCTTTTGTCTGCCCAGAGAGAAAGAAATTATGGCCTAGTCAGTTTCTTCTGGGGAGGTAAAAAGTAGCTTCATATGGAAACCTCAAGGGAAGTCTGAAGACCCCGTAGGAAACATTGGGAGTGCAAAGTTGGGATCTAACTTCAAGATTCTCTAGGGAACAGGAATTATATCTTTATTTTATTTTTGTTACCATGGGGATTCCTGATGGAGCAGTGAATAAAAACCAACCTTTATCTGGGATCAGAGGCATCTAGGAGTTTTATATTTCAGATTCATCAAGAACATGTAACCTTCTACAGTGATGGATGGTCTCCTCCCCCCTTGGCTATTTAAGGATTTCTCTGCATTCTGATGCCTCCCCCTTAGGATCCGCATCCCCACACACGTATCAAAACTGGACCAAAACTTAGATCACTTCAGTACACTACATACTAACTCATTTTGATTATTATTGCAAACATTTAGGCACCTCCATTTATTGGGAGGAGGCAGTATGGGTGCAGCTGGATGAAAATCTTGGATTTGGGGCAGATACAATGAAAGAGATGGTGCTTGTTTGCTTGCACTAGCAAAGCTATGGTCCTGCTGGAAATGGCATATGCGTCTGTCCCAAGTCATTTTTGAGATGCCCACAGAAAATTACTTCATTTTCCCCAAGTATAACTGAGGAACAGGCTGGAAAGCAAGATGCGAAATTGCACTTGGTAATTAGCAGGATAAATTAAGTGGATGCTATTTGTTGCTCACTAATAAAGTCTGGTATCTTTAAAAATCCAGATGTTGTTATTTGGATATTGAAAAGAGACTCTAAAGAAAGAACCCTGGAAGATGCCATGTAATAGTCCTAAAGAAAAGCAAAAAAGGGGAGGTTACAGAATTGTGTTTGCGAATACGTATCAATGAAGTAAAAAATGTGAGGAGAGAAGCAATAAGCTCAGACAGAAGTCAGGTGTATCTGACTAGGTGTATCAGAGCTAGAGCACTGAGCAGAATTTTTTTTCTTTTGCAGTATTCCAGATTAATACTTTTCTTGTTGCCACCCTAATTACTCTACATTAAATGCAGGTCTTCCTTCTGGAATAGTGGGTGGACTGGGAATCTTTTTCTGGAGTGATAAAAAAGAACGCTTTTTTCTGTAGTTATAGTAACATAAAAATACATTGGACTGGCAGAAGGAAGGAAAAATGTATGAAAATAAGCTGTTTGATGTTATACTCATCCTTCAAATCCAACATCAACTGTCACCACCCTGTGATACCTTCCCCAACCTTTCCAATTTTCCAAGCAGAGTGAAAAGGGAAGTTTCGTTACAACCCATCCAGTGGTGAATCAGGTGTTCCTCTTAGAGTGTGTCTTTCCATAGAGACCATTCCTAAGGGGAAAGGAAGATAACTGAGGGAGCAGTGATACATGTGTGGGAGGTGAGAGGGAGGCATCAGAATGCAGAGAAATCCTTAAATAACCAAGGGAGGAGGAGACCATCCATCACTGTAGAAGGTAACACGTTCCTAATCAATCTGAAATATAAAACTCCTAGAAGCCTCTGATCTCAGATAAAGAATAGTCTAGGGGGTGATCTGTTAGCTCAGTTGGTTAGAGCGTGGTGCTAATAACACCAAGGTTGCCAGTTCAATCCCCACGTGGGCCACTGTGAGCTGCACCCTCCTTAAATGAGTCAACTATGCCATTGTAGAATGAAAGCAATGTGTAACCAATGACCATAGCTGTTCCCCAATAAATTAAAAAAACAAAAAAGAATGGTGTATATTCACTCCTCCATCAGGAATTCCCATGGTAACAGAAATAAATTGAAGACATAAGTCCATTCCCTAGAGAATCCTGAAGTTAGATACCGACTTTGTACTCCCGGTATAAAATCTTCCCTTCCAAGGCCTCCTGGTGGTACAGGGCTTAACTGCCCCCGCCCGCTGTGAAACTTGCCTCACAAACATCTTAAATGTTTACATTTTGTCAGTATTTCATTAAGTTAATGGAATAGACATCATTCACAACAGTCTTTCTCCTTATTCTAAAGAATACTCATTTCTTCTTGTACACAATATGCCAAAATCTCCTTGGTTCTGAAACCAGAGTTTATATTTTTGTATCATTAATGTCTAACAGTGTGACTGAAGAATACCAAGAACCTACCCAACAAATATTGATTAAATGAAGAAAATAAATGCATGCGTTAATGCATTCATACATGCATGAATAAACGAACAAATGAATGAATAAAACAATCGTATAATTCCTCTGGTGTTTGTTTCTCTAACTTTCATATTTTCATCCTCTCTCCATTGGCTATACCTATGCTGATTTTTCCTATCCTAAAGCAGCCTGCCTCTCTGCATTAAGCCACCAATTTATATCTCTCCTTCCAGTTAACCATAGACTTTTATTATAAAAAGTGTAGTCTAACCTTGCTGCCTCCAATTACTTACTTCTTGTTTACTCTTCAGTCACTCCAGTGATTGTGGGCTCCACTCTATGGAAATGGCAGCCCCCCCCCATGCCTCCCCAGGATGCTGGAAACATTTTAATTACTAAGTTTCATGACCTCTGTTGAATCCACTTTCAAACAACATTTGCACTTCATTTGACCTTGCTGAACACTCAGTCAATATTAAAATTCTGCTCTGCAGGCTCCTAAGACACTACGTTCTCTTATCCCTTATACACCTCTGATTTTATTTTTATTTTTGTTCAATGGCCTTATTTTTTATTTTTATTTTTATTTTTATATTTTTGGTCCTTCTGTGACACTGGTATTTGGCCTTTGGCCTTGGACCTCTCCTCCTTATTCTATATTCTCTTTCTGGATCATACCTGTAGTATGTTATTCTTAATTTCCAAGGTCTATAGGTATATTCCAATTTATACAGACCTTTCTCATGGGAATGAGAAATGGTATAATAAGCTATACTGTCCTTGTTCCTCAGAAAATTTCTGAAGATATTTAGTTTTGTGCAATAGCTGAAAACACCTGTGTCTAAAAACTTATGTTTCTGGAGGATGGCTACTTATACTTTTAATCCTCTTTGCTTTAATGAATTATAAGAATACAGTTTATATGTTACTAATTTCTAGTATCACATTTTTCTCAGGTAGTAAGAGAAAACAGATTACCTGGCATCTTCTTTGAAGAATAGAGATTGCAAACTTAACCAACTTCTGGAAAGTATAAAATAGTCCCTTTCTTGCCAGTAACACTCTTGCCAGAAAATGCTAAACTCTTGGTCCCATGTACACACCTGAGTTAGGTATATAGCAGGCCACCAGGAAACTCAGAACATGTTCAGGACACTAAATGCTAACTCTTTGGATTATTGTTGCAAACATTTAAGCATCTCCATTTACTGGGAGGAGGCAGTGTGGATGCTGTTGGACCAAAACCTTGGATTTCGGGCGGATAAAATGAAAGAGATGATGCTTGCTTTGGCAGCACATGTACCAAAATTGGAACAATACAGAGAAGATTAGCATGGACCTTGAGCAGGGATAACATGCAAATTTGGGAAGCTTTCCGTGTTTAAAAAACATATGAAAGAGATGCTTGTTTAACAATATGCCCTCCTGTATGCATAGTTTTTAGTGTGGGCAATGTTATGTGTTTAAGGATTTGGATCAGAATTTCTGTGTATCAGCAATCAGGTGAAACTAAGAATAAGCTGCTCCCATTAGGACCTGAAATGTGCAATCTAATTTGCCTCACATGCCACCACTCTCTGTTGTCCCCAGTCCAGCTTGAATGTCATTTGCCACTTATCACAGTTACCTTTTATTTTTCCTATAGTTGGGAGTTATATGCTTATATCCATGTTTCTGTTTAAAAAAAAAGTTGTCATGAAAGACAGGATATTTCTCTTAAAAAGTAATTCACTTGAAACCTATGTAATTTTACTAACTATTGTCACCCCAATAAATTTTAATTAAGTAAAAAGTAATTCAGTTATGAATTTTGGTTTATTTTTGCAGATGTTATGCTTCTTATTGAAACAATGATTGCAGCTCATAACTATTTGAATGCCAAATGTGCGCCTTTCGTGCCCTTTCCTGCATCTATAGTCATCCCTCAATGATTCTGCTATGTCATGGTCAAGTACTTCAGCCTCAATTAGACTTGATCTGTCCAGGAGATTTAGGGGTTACACTACAGTATGAGACTTAAGTTGTAATTACCCATCACACTGGAAAATTATTAGTTCTAATTAATCTCTCTTTATTACCACTTTCATCAATTCTAACTGCTCTGTTTTTATACAAGGTTGCCATTACCACCTGGGGCTTTTTCGGGACTCTGGAAGAATCAGGAGGCATTCAAGCATTTATACTTCGAAAAATTTCCTGTAAGGACTTTATTATACTTTTTGTTTTACTTTATTATATACGTCTCTATAGTTATTGCCTATTAAATTGAGCAGCTTGCTCCTAGAATTATAGATTACAATGCAAGTTTGAAAGGCTGTGTGGACCAGTTTCCAGACCTCAGGGATAAAAATGCCCAAGCCACAAATGTCTACATAAGTCATTTTTATATTTATTTTTATCAGTCTCTGGACATTAGACATTTCTCAGTTCTCTCAGCAGCTTTTCCTGGAATTGAACAGCCCTTGGTATCAGGAAACTTTTTGTGAAGTTAAAACTTTTGTGGGCTTTCTATATTATTTCCTCCATTAGAGCTCTCCGCACAGATTGAAAACACTGGGTCAGAATTGTACACTGTTATTAGGAACCCTTTACCTCCTCTGCTCCTGGTTATATGAGCACATTTGGCTTGTCAGAAGTTGTGTTTTTCCATCCCTTTAATTTTTTTGGCATTCTTTCCTGAGTGTTCTCAGCTCTTTATTTTAAAACACAGAGACTGTATTCCCAACACTCAACATCCATTGTCCTGGATCACGGAAAGTGTCTTCCAGTTTTCTGCTCTCCATTTGCTTGTTATTCTGTGCCACTGTCATGGGTTTTGTGTTTATATACACAAAATACACATCAGGGTTCCATAATCACCCTTCTGCTATCTTTCCACTTCTGTTTCTTTCCCTGAGAGAGATACCTGGTTCATTATTATGCATGAGGTAAAAAGACTGAATGATCAGAATTTCATTTAAAAAGTGAATCTAAGTGTTTAGCATTCCATCTTTTTTATTTGTGAAGGACAGGTAACCTAATCAACGAGATGAATGACCGGAATTAAAATAGCTTCTTTTAGAAAGAGACCTCAGATTTAAATGACCTCAGTAGCCATGATTAAACACACCCCTGAGGGACTTGGCAGGGCAGATTTTTCAGTAGTGTTGACTCCAGTCGGCCCTATCTATCTGCCTGATGGGCCACAGTGAAATCCTCAGAATACAGGTACGATTAATTGCAACCTGACAATGGCAAGTAATATATGCATGTGGTTTTAACATGATCACCCTTAAGATTGGAAGCTCCTTCACAGTCCTAGTTTATGATTAAACTATAGATAGTGTCTCTAGACTCTGTCTCGTTACCCCGACCTCAAAGCTCTCATAAGGGGTTAATATAATACAGCACAAAAGGCCTGAGTGACTTGCCCACGGCTTGGAAGTCACAGAGCTAACATTTGAGCCCATGTCATCTGGCTCCAGAGTCCGTAATCTTTAACTATATTCCAGAATGTCTCTCTAATAGTAATTTCAGTAGTAAACTGCAGTAAGAGTGCCAATTATTGAGGGCTCATGATGTGTCAGGGTCTGCCCTCTTTATAGACACCATCTCCTTTATGCTTCACAAAAGACTTATAAGGCATAGTTCGTTACCCCCATTTGATAGATGGGTATACTGAATGTCAGAAAGATTAAGAAACACAAATAGTGACTCACTGGGATTTTCTGAAAGCCCATGCTCGTGAACACAGATGTCAAGATAATTCAGAAGCATTAGGGAAGTAATATTCCTTTCTTTCTACTTTTCGTGATTCTTCATTCTATCATGACTTCTGTACCAATGAAGATGTGCTGCTACTTTGAGTTGATTAAAAATTAAATTTCACACTTACTACTTAACAACAATTTCTCTGAATCTCTAGTTCAATCCAAATGCATGTGAATAAACTGTATTCTATTTTGTAATTATTCAGAGAGCTTTAAAGCTTTTGAAAATTAACACAATTAAAGAAGAAATCTACCAAAGAATTACTTTGCAATACCAAAGTATATTGGAAATATTCAGCTATTACTTCTCAATTAAAAAAAGGAAATTAGGTTCATAAATTTTGCAACTCTAAGTTCAAACGCTTACATTGAACATATATAAGAACACTTTAATTATTTCTGGTTATTAGAGGAGCAAAGAGATTCTAGTAAGCTTTCAGAAGTAATTAAATTCCATAAGCTAGTTATGAAAACAATCAAATGCATTACAGTGAATTCATTTCTATCACATTGTATATTTTACCAAGCTTACACATGATTATATCACTTTACAGTACATGCATGCTAATTAGACATTATTTATTTTTATTTTTAGGGATACTATGACACCATGGATGCTGGTTACATGGATGAAGAAGGCTATTTGTATGTTATGTCTCGAGTTGATGATGTGATAAATGTTGCAGGTCACAGGATTTCTGCAGGTGCCATCGAAGAGGTATTGATGGATATTGGTCTTCTCTTCTAGGTAATGCTTAGGAACAGAGCTTAGTGGGAGTCAATATCGAGGTTAAGTCATTCCACCCGGAAAATCACCACACCCTTCATTCATTTGAAGCAGAGGCTACGTTACTCTAGTATTTCCCTCGCCTCGCTTCCTCTTCTGTGGGTTTTCATGTTCTCCTACGCCCCTATTCCTCTCTGGGATGTAGTGAGGAATTTGAAGTACTTACATATATTTGTTATTTATGGGAGACTATATATATTTGCTTCTTGATACGTGCTACTTGATTGCTTCTAGCTTCTTAATTTGCTCCTGCTTGATAACCAGATTTCCATAGACTCCTTAAGTGGTGTAAATTTAAAAATCTTATTGTACTCTTAAATCCTGAGAATTTTCTGCCATTGTAAGTTACAAAAATTCCCAGAAGGCTTTTTGAAAATGTTTTTAATCTTTCACCTTTACATAGAGGAAAATCCACTTTTTTTGTTGTATAATTCTGAGTTTTTTACTTGTATAGATATTTGTAACCATGACCACAGACAAGATACAGAAAAATTTCAACACTGCCAAAGAATTCCCTCATAATGTGACTGTTTTTGCCTTCCTTAGAATGTCCTATAAATGAAATAGCACAGTATGTAAGCTTTCGAGACTGGGTTATTTCATTTAGGAAAATACATTTGAGATCCATCCAAGCTGCTGTGTATATCAATAATTTGTCCTCTTATATTGCTGTGCAGAAGTTCATTGTGTGGATGTACTACCAGTTCATGTATCCATTCACCCTATAAGGGATATTGGATTGTTTCTAGTTTTGAGGCCATTGCAAATAATGCTGTAATATACATTCAAGTACAGTTTGTGTGTGTGTGTGTGTGTGTGTGTGTGTGTGTGTGTGTGTAAATTACTTTTCACATCTCTAGGATAAACACCTACAGTTAGTTTACTAGGTTATACACTTAAGTGTATGTTTAGGTTTATAAAAAACTGCCAAATTGTTTTCTAGAAAGGCTATGCCATTTTACATTCCCACCAGCTCTGCTCGAGGGATCCTATTTCTTCCATCTTTATCAGCGCTTGGAATTTTCATTATTCTTTATTTACATCATTATAATAGATATGTAATGGTATCTCACTATGCTTTTTTTTTTTTAAAGATTTTTGGGGAATTGGGGGGATGGGAACAGCACTGGGGAATTGGGGGAAGGGGAACAGACTAGTTGCTGTCGTTTTGTTCTTCAGTCTAGTTGAGGAGGAAGTTGCTTCACTGGACCAAGTTGGCACCATCATTGCGCTCTTCCCGGGTGAGGCAGATCAGTCCCCGGCTTCTGGACGGCTGCTCACTGCAGCTGCTGGCCGATCACGCTGGCTGCTGGCTACACATGGTAGCCCATGGCAACCCACTGCAGCAGGGGCTGCAGCCTACACTGTTGCCGGCCCAGCTCCAGGTTGAGCTGTTGTTCAGCATCTTAGCTGTAGAGGGCAGTGTCACTGGCCCTCATATGTGGGATCCGAACCGGGGCCCTCTGNAGCTCCAGGTTGAGCTGTTGTTCAGCATCTTAGCTGTAGACGGCAGTGTCACTGGCCCTCATATGTGGGATCCGAACCGGGGCCCTCTGGCATCCCAATCCAGTTCTTAACCAATGCGCCACTCGGCCGGCCCAGTGTACAGCCTTTTAAATCCATTAAAATTTACACAAAAGTGGCAGTAACAGTAACAATGAATGACAGCATTTATCAGGCCTATTAACATAACCTTTATATACTCAGTGTAGGTGAGACTATTACCATTTAAGTTGTACCACATTTTGGGGGTATTTAAATGCCTATTAACCATAGATGCTTTATGGAAAATGACACCACCCCCCACCCAGCTGTTCAAACCCAAAACAGAATCACCCTTAAACCCTCTGCCTTCTTCTTTCTCCATAGGCAATTTATCATCAAATTTTGCCATTTTACCTCTAAACAAACTTTAGAATTTTCATACCCACTACCATATCTGTAGCCTCTCAAACTGTGATACTCTCAACAATCCTCTATTTATTCTCCACGATGAAACAAATTTGTGTTTTTCAAAATCCACCCTGACGTGAAAGAGACCAATCTGAAAAAGCTATATGCTGTGTGATTCCAACTACAGGACATTCTGGAAAAGGACTTCAGTGACCGTAAAAAGATCATTGCTTGCCAGGTGTTAGCAGGAAGTGAGGAATGAATAGGCAGAGCACAGGGGATTTTTAGGGCAATGAAACCATTCTGTAAAATATTATAATGGTGGATACATGTCCTGAAAACATAGAAAGTACACCAAGAGTGCACTCTAATGTAAATTATGGACTAAGGTGATAATGGTGTGTCAATGTTGACTCATCAATTGTAACAAATACACCACTCTGTTGAGGGATTTTGATAGTGGGGCAGACTTCGTATATGGGGGCAGGAGGTATATGGAGACTTTCTGTATTTTCCACTCAATTTTGCTATGAACCTAAAACTCTAAAAAAATAAAAGTTTGTTCTGATCTTCCATCTCCTCCTCAGCTCCAGGAAGGGCTTTATTCACTTTCCAATGCTGCTAAAATAACAGTTGGAAGTCCTTAGCACACCCTGACCTTACCTCTGCAGCTTCATTTCCTCTTGTACCATCCTCTTGGTCTTGTTTTCCAGCCACAGTGGTTTCTTTCAGGTTTGAATGGTATATGCCCAGTTCATCCACAGGGCTTTTGTCACGCCCCCCTCCTCGTCTAATCAATGTCTGCTAATCCTTTAGACCTGAGCTTATTGTCATTTCCTAAGGGAAGCTTTCTCTGAGATCCATATTGTGCTGCCAACTTTGGTACTTTTGGTATATCTCTCATATAAAAAACCCGAAGTTGGGCTGGCCAAGTGGTGCATTGGTTAAGAGTTGTCTTGGGACACCAGCTCTGAGCAGCAGAGGCGTGGTTCGGATCCCACATGAGGGCCAGTGACACTGTCCTCTACAGCTAAGATGCTGAACAACAGCTCAACCTGGAGCTGGGCTGCCCTGAGTCATCGGCGACAGCGTAGGCTGCAGCCCCTGCTGCAGTGGGTTGCCATGGGCTACCGTGTGTAGCCAGCAGCCAGCGTGAGCGGNGCCACTCGGCCGGCCCCACTACATGTATTTTAGAATGAGCTTTTCGATTATTACAATAATTCATGCATGCGTTTTGATGTTGAATCTATATAGATTGATCCACTGAAAAGTAATTGTTGATAGATATGTAGTTATTTCCACTTTATTATTCATATTTTGTAATCTCTTCTTCTTCTTCTTCTTCCCCCTCCTCCTCCTCCTCCTCATCCTCCTCCTCCTTCTTCAAGAAGTCCTTTTAAAAATTCTTGTAATACTGATTTGGTGGTAATGAACTCCTTTAGCCTTTTTTTGTATGGGAGGCTCTTTATCTGTCCTTTCGTTCTGATTGATAGCTAATGATATTTGCTGGGTAGAGTAATCTTGGTTGTAGGTCCTTGCTTTTCACCACATTAAATATTTTGTGCCAATTCCTTCTGGCCTGCAAAGTTTCTGTTGAGAAATCAACTGACAGTCTTATGGGAGCTCCCTTGTAGGCAACTAACTTCTTTTCTCTTGTTGCTTTTAAGATTCTGTCTTGGCATTTTAATTAGTTTGGGCCCCTCTGGGTACATTTTGTTTGGGATTCACTGTGCTTCCTGGGCTTGTATGTCTATTCCTTCTCCAGGTTAAGGAAGTTTTCTGTCATTATTTCTTCAAATATGTTTTCAATTTCTTGCTCTCTCTCTTCTCCATCTGGTACACCAATGATGAGAACATGGGTACACTTAATATTGTCCCTGAGGCTCCTTAAGTTATCTCATTGTGTTTTGTTTTCTTTTTGCCATTCTGATTGGGTGTTTTCTGCTACCTTGCCTTGTAAATCACTGTTTCAATCCTCTGCTTCATGTAATCTAATATTGATTATCTCTAATATATTCTTTTCAGTTATTGTATTCTTCATTTCTGATTGGTTCTTTTTTATGTTTTCTATTTCTATTTTTATGTTTCCTATTTCTTTGTTGAAGTTCTCACTGAGATCACTGAGCATCCTTATAACCCAATGTTTTGAATTCTGCATTTGGTAGATTGGTAAATTGTCTCCAATTTGTTTGATGCTTTTTTTTTTTTTAAGCCTTATTCTTTTCTTTCATTTGGGACATGTTTCTTTGTTTCCCTATTAGGCTACCTCCCTGGGTTTGTTTGTTTGTTTCTATGTATTAGGTAGAGCTACTGTGTCTTCTGGTCTTAGTAGAATGGCCTTATGTAGTAGGTGTCTTGTGTGGCCCAGTGCCACAGTCTCCCTGGTCACCTGAGCTAGGTGCTTCAGGTGTGTCTCTTGTGTGGGTCGTGTGTGACCTCCTGTTGTAGTTGAGCCTTATTGTTTGCACATCAATGGAGGGATTGACCCTCAGGCTGATTCACTGTGAGGACTGGCTGTGACTACAGTGGAGGAGCTGCTGTGTAGTGGCTGACCCTGTGGAGCAGGATTCCCTTTAGACGGGCTCTGGTGCCTGCCCAGTCTGCCCTGTGGGTGAGTCATCTGTGGAGGTGGTTTGGTGTTGCTCTGGTGCGCTCTAAAGCTGGCCACTGGGTGTGTTGGTTCTGGGGCCTCTTGCAAGGGGTTCTGTTGCAGGCCAAGGTCAGCCTCTGCCTGTGCCCTGCCTGGGGCCACTTGGTATGAGTTACAAACTGAGCTGCAGATGATTGCCACTTGTGCTGTGCTTGTGGGTGCCTGTGAGAAGTTAAACTTTGAATTGAGGCTGGCTTCCACTAGTGCTAGGCTTGGGGCTGCTTAGCAAGAAGTACAGGGCATGCTGAGGCCATATGCTGCTTGTTTGTGGTTTGTGATCTTTTGAGAGATTTAGAAAAGTCCACAGCTCATGCATATGGAAGGACATTCATATGGAAAAACCAGTGAAAGTGGCTTGGGTGTGCCAAGAAGTTGGGTGGGGCAGGAA